CCCGTATGATAGATCTAAAAGCGTGCCATTCACCTTCCTTTAACTTCTTTCTTTTTTATTTTAGGATGATTTTTGCGGAGTGTTCACCAAACACCTGCCCTTGTGGTGAACAGTGTTGTAATCAGCGGATACAGAGACATGAATGGGTGCAGTGCCTGGAAAGGTTCCGGGCTGAGGAGAAAGGATGGGGTATTCGTACCAAAGAACCCCTGAAAGCAGGACAGTTTATCATTGAATATCTGGGAGAAGTTGTTAGTGAGCAAGAATTCAGGTAGAAATATTTATTTACTGCTTTAGCATGGAAGGCTCAATAAATGACTTTAGCATCTATTGTTATTGCTGGGAAATCCTTAGACAGAAATGAAGGGGAGAGTAAGGGTGGGGAGAAGACTGGTTTTCTGGCCACAGCCACCAGAAAGAAGGCTTAGAATTCAGCTTTTTTGGTCAACCAAGTTTTTCTCAGTCAAATAGAGGAATGATTAGTGTTTGGAATGCATCGCCTGCCGCATCTGCTCTGTAAATGCCAAATGCCACAAGTGACTGAATTTGATACGATTGTGAGTTCCGTGCAGGGTTTGAACTGTGCGAGATGGCATCGAGGGGCAGAATGGGGCAGGCAGGGAGATAAGCTTCTGCAGATAGGTAGGAAGAAAAAAGAACAAGTGGGAACATTAATAACCAATGAAAGAAAGAAACTGCAGTCTCGTTAACTACACAGCATCGTGAGATAATTGAGGCTGGAGGGACACGCTGCTCTTAGAGCGCCATCGGAAGACGAAAGGGATCTTCTCATGCAGAGACAGCTGCTGACACAACTGGCTCTTGTTCCGGGTGCTCTCTTGCTAAAAAGAGGTGGATGTAATTCCAGAAATCGCGTCCAGTCCCAGTCCCAGCTAAGGAAAGCAAGCAGCTCGTTGTTGTACACATGCATACATATACACACCAAAGAACATGTACTTGCATTTTCTCTTCCGTACACAGGTTATCAACATGAAATGTATACAAATAATCTGCAGAACCCAAAAGGGAGCTTTCCAGAAGAGCAAATTTCTAAATTCTAATCCAAGCTCTGTCAATGGCCTTGACTTATAAAAATAGGTATAACAATGGTTTTCCTCCGTCCCTAGGTGTACGGTTCTATAAAATATAAAAGATTATAATTGCTTTTGCTTCAAAACCCTCTCTCGGAATTCTTGAATGCTCTGTTGCTGTGTTACTCCCTGTTTGCTTTGCAGCAACAAGCAGAACCACAAATAACTTTTCCTTTGTTGCTTCCTAGGAACCGGATGATTGAACAGTACCACAATCACAGTGATCATTACTGCCTGAATTTGGACAGTGGAATGGTGATAGATAGTTATCGGATGGGCAATGAGGCTCGTTTTATCAACCACAGCTGTAACCCTAACTGTGAGATGCAGAAATGGTAAGAAAAACATATTCTGTTTACTGGAAGACTGGTATACCGGTGGCTGAGATATAGATAACCAGATGATCTGAGAGAATCTGATCTAAAAATAGGGAGGGGAATCAAGCTGAACAGTGTAAATAGTATTTGCCGTCATGCTCGCGTTGCACAAGAGAAGTCACGTCATGTTTTCAGGCGTTGGATGTTTTGGAGACAGGATCTAAGTTTCCTGGCAAGGCAGGTCCAACGTTGTTGCTTTTCATGCTGTTAACCTGCTCCAAACTTCGAAGCCTACGTAATGCTGTAAAGCAATATTTCCTTCTGGCAATTCAAATATTTTTTTTTAAAGCAGGCAAACAGGGAAGTAGTCTGATTTCAGCACACCCTGTGTCCTGTCAGCGCTACGTTATCAGAAGAAATCCTGTGCCAGACTAGTAGGAAGGACCTCAGAGAAATTTGTGGAGAATAACTTACAGTGAAATAGCAGATGGTCGTAATAGGGATCGGCTGTGCTGGCAGTGCAGCAGAGTAGCCTGTGATTCGCTGATAATTCCAGTGGTTTTAAGCAATTGTAATCGAGTTTTAAATTTTGAACACAAAAAATAAGTAAAGGAATTGGAGAAGGGGTGAATTTTAGTGCATTTTGTGCCATAAGGTGTGAGGTTCAGTGTAAGTTTTTGATTTAGGGTGAGGCCCTGAATCTTGGTGGGTGATGGGTAGCTCTGCTGTGATAGCCAATGCAGGTTGTAGCTTCTCTGTGTGAAGCAGCACTTCCTGCTCTTTGTAATGATGTTACCGACTTTTTTGGCTTTCAGAGTTTATCGTAAGAGATAAAACAAAAGAACAGGACAGATGAAGAACAAGCGTAATCCAAGGCACCGCAGAAGTGTTGCTTCCTGTCTCTAACACTTCCACTGTGGGCGCAAAGACATTTTTCTTTTTAATTATTAGGAATATTTTATTGTCTTTTCCCCACAGGTCTGTTAACGGTGTTTACCGGATTGGATTATATGCGCTTAAAGACATGCCTGCTGGTACTGAATTGACTTACGACTACAATTTTCATTCATTTAATGTTGAAAAACAGGTAAGGATCACCCTGCAAGACCTTGGAAAAACTCACCAAGGAGAAGCAGTTCTGTAAAGTCGAATGTCGATTAACAAAACCTATTGTGTTGTGTCTGAAACAGTTTCTTTATGCTATCGAGAGAGAATCTAAATGTTTTGAGGTTTTTTTTAAATAGTTGCTTTTTTTTCTTTTTTCAATCCCAAAGCAACTCTGCAAATGCGGTTTTGACAAATGCAGAGGAATAATTGGGGGTAAAAGTCAGCGAATGAATGGCCTTTCAAGCAAAAGCAATCAGCCTGTGAGCACCCACAGAAGGCCTGGACGGTCGAAAGAGAAAAGGAAGTCAAAGCACAAACTAAAGAAGAGAGTAAGTAGTAAAGACAACTTTTGTCATGGATAAAGGTTAATAGGAAAACAGTTTGTGACATCAGACTGAAAAACTGTGTTTGTATATGTTCAGCTTCAGAGAAGTACTGTAGAGAAATACTCCAGGTTCTGTCTCAGGAACTACTTGTACTGCTTTGCTGAGTTCTTGGCACAGTTTTTCCTGTCTATCAGAATGATCTGTTTTCCAGAGGGGCCACATCCCAGAGGAGCCCAGTGAAAGTGTGAACGCGCCAACAAGGCTGACACCACAGCTTCAGATGAAGCCCATGTCTAACCGAGAAAGGTAAGGAATGATTTCAGCGGGCTTTTCCTCAGAAATGGAGTGTCGTGCCGATGTTGAAATTAATTTTTTCTGTAAGATAGGGCATCGTGAAATGGCTGACTCAGCAGTTCTTAGTTCTCCTTTAGCCAGCTAGGGTGGAATTCCTCTCCACTGAGGTACAGGAGTGTACCTCTGAATATCTGTCTTTTTCCCCCCATTAAGGAATTTATTTTACAGTACGAAGGTGATTCTTGAATGCTTTTCCAATTTCTGTAGGAATTTTGTGCTAAAACACCACGTATTTTTGGTACGAAACTGGGAAAAGATTCGACAAAAACAGGAGGAGGTGAAGCACGTCAGCGACAATCTCCACAGCACGTCGCTGTACAACCGCTGGAACGGAATCTGTCGGGACGACGGCAACATTAAATCTGGTGAGGCCAACAGAGGTTCCTCAGGTTGCTGCTTGGAGAACCTGTGTGACGTGCCTGGCAGGAGTTGAAGTGAGCTCTGAGTGTAAATCAAACGTCAAGTTACTGCAAGATCCGTAGACGTTTTGTGATACACCCGGGGAATGCTCTGCAGATAAAACCCCTCCGTATGTGTTTGTGTGTGCGTGCCCTTAGCTTCGCGTAGCGGGGTCAGACAGAAGCTCTTTCACTGTTTCACTGTGTTTTTTGCGTTACGGGCTTCTGCAGTTTCCTCCGAAACACTTAATGCTGTGTTCTTAAGAATGAGAATTTCCTGCTAGATAAACCACTCATCTGGTTGCTGGATTTGTTTGTGTTCCTCCAGCAGCCCTGATGTCTCTCAAGTCCTGGTAGAAGTTGTCATGTCTCACATTTCATCAAGAGTGGTTGATCAGAGGAGGAAGAGGATGATATTTAATGTTTTCCATGATTGGACCCTTACAGAGAAGGGCTGTTTTCTGCTTTCTGTGTCCCTAGACCAGAAGCAGTTGCGCTGACTTTGAAAATTGTCATTTATCCTCATAATTCGGTGGATTTGAGGCCTTTAGAGAACAAAGCTTTTTGGCATGCAGTCAGTTGTGGGAGTGGGACAAAATACGACTATGGGGAAAAATGTATTAATCCTGCTCCACAAATAGCAGTCTGTTCGTAGGACCGTAATCTTCACAGCCATGCAGGGTTTGGTCCCTGCTGACAGGTACATGAGAAGCTGGAGAGTATTTTGGGGGAATTTTATGACATGCTGTATTTGCTCCAGCACCATAAAATACTTTGATAACAGCTTAACTGTTTAGATGAGCTCTAAGCAGCAAGAGCCGAACTTGGGAATATGAAGCTGAAGCCTTTTACTGTTACAGTAGCTTAGAAAACTTGTTAATTTTAATAATTGGTGGTGGAGTGCTGGATCAGAAAAAATGCTGCAATTTGATCTTTAATTTCTTGTTTAGGAATAATTTGGGTTTGCTCTCTTTCAGATGTCTTCATGACCCAGTTTTCAGCCCTTCAGACCTCCCGCTCCGTGAGAACCCGACGCTTGGCCGCGGCTGAAGAGAATATCGAAGTGGCTCGCGCTGCCCGCCTGGCACAGATCTTCAAGGAAATATGTGATAGCATCATATCCTATAAAGGTGAAGGTGACACTTCTAAAAAAATCTCCATGGAGACTTTTTCAGCCTCTGGAACGCTGGACTCTCTGAATAGAAAATAATAGAAAAAATGAGTTTATTTCAGGATGATAAATATCCTTCCCTTTTTTTCTTTCTTTTTTCTTTTCTCCTGCAACCAGTAATCGCTTTGCTTTATCCTCAACCCCTTCCCGTGCCACCAGAATCTGCAGATGTTGCTATCCTTTTAAATTGATTGTTCAGCAAAGTGATACAATTGACAGAATTGCAAGGAAACTGTCCTCCGTTTTGATACGTGCAGTCCGATTCCAGCAGCCAACTTGTAGAAATGCAAAAGGATTTCAATTCCCTGTGCCTCAGATAGCTGAGGAGCCTTTTTATAACCTGCATTGAATGTTGCTGGTTACTTGTCTCTTTAAGTTTTACTCAAGTAAGTGTTGCTAAACTGTGTGTTCCTGTTACAGATTCCTCCAGGCAGGCTCTTGCAACTCCCCTCCTGAACCTGCCCCCAAAGAAAAAGTAAGTACTTGCTTCTCCGAGCACCCCATGGTTTTCCGTGATGGATTTGCACAGCTCTGAATTGCTGGTGGAAATGACATTGTGCATACATTCCCGTTTTAGAAATGCAGACTATTATGAAAAGATCTCTGACCCGTTGGACCTTGCCACCATTGAGAAGCAGATCTTGACTGGGTACTACAAAACGGTGGAAGCTTTTGATGGGGACATGCTGAAGGTCTTCCGAAATGCGGAGGTGAGGCTCTCTCTGGCCTTCAAGCTGTGGCATAGACAGTGGGATACACCCTCGTTCCATGTTCTTGCTGACTTATGGTAGGAAAAGAAGAAAAATATCTTAGAGAGAGAGAATTTGTGGTGATCCGTTTCTGATGAACAGACGTTGACAGCAATTCATGTGCTTTTCGGTTGCCTTAGGTCAGGCAAAGAGAAGGTCGAGAGCAGGCACGTGTAGCTAACCCAAAGAAACTTCAGCACCTTTTGGAAGAGGCACCTTGTTCTTCAGTGCCATGTGTAAGATACATGGGCCTGCTGTTCAGAACAAGGGAGTAGATGGACAGGTGTACACCACGGTGGGGGATGCAGCTTTAGTGAAGCCACCTTGGAGGGAGCGTGCAGACAGGAGGAATGCACACAAAGCATGGAAAAAAAAAATGGGTTTTTGTTTCTTTGGTTTGTTTTTATTCAGAAATATTACGGCAGAAAATCTCCAACTGGACGTGATGTGTGCCGGCTACGGAAAGCGTATTATAACGCTCGCCACGAGGCGTCTGCCCAAATTGATGAAATTGTGGGAGAGACAGCAAGTGAAGCTGACAGCAGCGAGACATCGGTCTGTGAGAAAGAAAACGGGCACGAGAAGGACGAGGACGTGATCCGTTGCATTTGTGGCCTTTACAAAGATGAAGGACTCATGATCCAGTGTGAAAAGTGCATGGTGAGGCAGGGGGAACACAAAATGCAGCCTGGTGCTCTTTTCTATTCTCCATAACCAGTGGAACTCCCACCAGCAGTTTCGGTGTAGCTAGTAGCGTTAATGACCTCTTCAGACCTTCATTTTCTCTCCAAAAGAACCGAGAGATGTTGTTTTCCCAGAGGAAATGCAACTTGCCTTTCTATAGAGAGGAGGTCGCACTTGTCTGAAACTGCCAGCCACTCCTGTCTAGGCGAGCAGAATTAATGTCAACAATTTGGGGCTTTTACACCACCAGTGCCATGGGGATCTTGTCTGTCTTCTGACATAGAGTGAAATAGTTCAGAGAAAATCTCGACTTTCCTTCAGGAAGCTTGTTTTCTTGCTTTCCTTCGTATTTTTTTGAGAAAATGCAATTTGTGAATAAAATCTACCGCAGGGATTTCTAACAATGCCATTTGTGAATAAAACCTCCCACCGGTATTTCTAACTGGGATGCATCTGTTTTTCTAGGTCTGGCAGCACTGTGACTGTATGGGCGTGAACTCTGATGTTGAGCACTACTTGTGTGAGCAGTGTGAACCTCGATCTGTGAACAGGGTAAAAAAAAAAAGTCTCCTCTTCCTGACTGTGGTTATAAACTGAAGCAGCTCTTGCATTTATATTAATTGAGGTTGGCAAGACCGGTGTTGGGATCCTCACTGCATGGTGTGGCTTCCTTGGTTTAGGTTTAATCACGTTAAGTGTCAGTTCTTACTCTCTGTCCACTTCTGCCTATTTCCGAAAGGATATCAGCCCCATTTTTGCATTTCAGAATTTCCTTCCTTTTTTCTTTTTTTTTTTATTCAGGAGGTTCCCATGATCCCTCGTCCCCATTATGCCCAGCCTGGCTGTGTTTATTATATATGCTTGTTACGGGATGATCTGCTGCTGCGCCAAGGTATGTGCTAACTCTGGTCGCTGCCGTGATTTCCGTCAGATAAGAGCGTACAGGGATTTCTGGCATCGCCCTGTGTGAAATGCTTCTGTCTTTTCACGAGTAGGAAGCTGTACCCTGCTCTTAGGGGAGGGACACGTAAGAGTTCTCACAGGCTGCTGGAGGAAGAAACGTGCATTACCTGTAGCACAGAGGGGGCTCTTCCTGGCCGGAGAAGGAAGATGCTGAGCCAGCTTCTGGTAGTTAACCTTTAGAACTAAGTAAAGGCAAAGAAGGCCATCAGGCCTTCGGCATTTTAGTGTAGAATGGTCATTAAAACGTCTGACTTGCTGCTTGTTTGTTCCCTAAAGTGTGTCTTGGTGGACGTGGCTTCAGAGCCCTGACTGAGTCTTTCAGAGGCAGCTACACAGCCCCGTACTTCAGTCCACTGATTATTATTTTTTTTTATTTCATCCTACAGATACATACAAGGTTAGAAAGAAGTCTATATAATTATTAAGAGAACTGCTCTTGAATAAGTAAAACCAGTTGGGGTATGTTTGCTAGAGGGGCATGGGAGAGTCTTCAGGAAGGTGGAGATTAAAAAAACCCCAAATGGTCACAGAACAGTGTGTTCTTTATCCCCTCTGCAGGATTCATGATTGCATTCCATCTGCCTTTTTCATTGTTGCTCTGCGCTGTCTGTCCTGTCAGCCGTTTGGTTTTCTCATTTCTTGGGTTTTGCTGGGTTTCTTGCTGGAGAGTATCTCCCTTTCTAAGGTTGTGTCAGTACTTGCTTTTATATTTTCCGTTAAAATGGATTCCGTTTTAGCTGGGTTTTGTGGCATCTTCCAGTCAGTCGTAGCATTAAGGTGATTTTTGTCATGAGACATTATATTTCACTCACGTAGCTCTACTCTGATCTTGGTGACTTGAATTAGCGAAGTCCCTACAAGGCTGCACTCCATGTAGCACTGGCAGAGAGCAAAGGAGACCAGACTGCCACTGGTAGGCACCAAGGGCCTCTGCAGTTGCAGGAATAGATTGAGCAAGGTGTCTAACCAGAAGGTGCTGGAAAGAAAGACACAGCTACAGCAGACAAAGGGGAATCCATGGATTCCTTGCTGGTCTCCAGCTCTCCATGAACAGTTCCGAGGCACAACGCCTGCCTATAGGGGTTGTTGTGATGCGGGTGCACAGACATAAAAAGCAGCTTGGAGACAGTAGAAGAAACAGGTTTTTGCTCCCTCTGGTTCCTAAAAGGCCAGTTTTAGTTTACAGGTTCCAAGACAAAAGAGACCATTGTGACCTTCAGCCCTACAGTCCCTATACGTGTAGGCTCTTACATTTTTCCGGTGTGTTGTGTATTACAAAGACCTTGCGACAAAGACTGAAAGTGCTCTCGAGGCCATTGCCTTCCCTTGCAAACTGGTCCATCCTTGCTGCTGGGGAACTGTGTCTGTACCTTGAATGAGTTTGTCTTCCAGTTCCAAGCTTGAGAACTCATGTTTTTGAGGAACAAGACTGAAAAGCTTCCAAGTGTGTGAGCACACACGCTTCACTGTGGTTGAATCCCCCTGTGTCAGTAAGGGTCCTTCACTCTCTGGTTAGAGGACTTGTGGTTTAGTTTCTTGACAGTTCTACTTGCTGAGTGATATGCTACAGACGTGCTTCCTCTGCAGAAATTATGTAACACCAGGAGATGATGGAAATGGTTCTGATCAGTTGGTCCGTCACATCCTGCAGAGTGAACGAGGAGTCCTACCTCAGATGCGAGTTGCTAAAGGGAAGTCAAAATGGATCTTGGAAAACCCACACAGCCAGAAACTGTCAGGTGTCTTTAGCTCTGAGGCACCAGCAAGAGCAGCCGCATTTCTTCCTTGAAAACACAGGACTGTAAACTCCCTTTCGCGACAGCGCGGTAGCTATTTCACTAGTTAGTAACGGCTGGATAAACTTGAATTTAAATCGGGCTTCCTGAGCCTTAGGGCAAGAGAGTATCCCTGTACATTTCTTTCTGAATGCGTCTTTTTTAGCCAGGTTCAGTAAGTACTAGAGTTGCTTTATTCTCACTGAGGAGATAGGGAGGGAGAGTTGAAAGCAGCCAATTTAAAATAACAGCCCAAAATGGGTGGGTTTATTTACATTCTGCATGACGCCAGCAGCTGCTCTCAGCATGTACCTGACTTTTTTTCTCTACAAGTCTTTTAAAGGAATTAGGGAGGTGGGTTCCTTAAAAGTCATCCTTAACTTAGTAAAATGAAGATGTTACTGTCCCAGCTTTAGTTCAGAATACAGGTGAGTACAGGCTCATCGCCAGCCAACACACGCTGAATCCTTCACGAGCTTGCGCTCTGCTGGCTTATGTGCAAGCCTGTGTCGTTCTGTCTTCAGTCCATGTTTTACTTGGGCAAGCCAGAATAAAACTCTCTCTCTCTTCCCTACAGCTACGGCTTCTGTTAGTTTAATAGCGATCCGGGTATACCAGGAGGTTTAAAAGCTGGCCTCGTGGTGCTCGGCAGGTGTCAGTGCCCGCAGGGCCCGTGTCGTCTCTGGTTTAAGTCGGAGGATGTTTGTCATAGTGCGATGCGTTGTGCCCCGCTGTTACAGTGACAGGTGACGATGTAAAACCTCAAAGTGATTTTGGCATATGAGGAGTCCTTAGGAGCATCTTTTAAACTTACACAGGATTGATAAATGAGATGAGATTTCTGAAAACATCATTACACGTCCTGCACTTTAATCCTAAATTTGGTTATAAGCTAAGGTCGGACAAAGCGGAGGCGTTCCTGAACCTGGGGCCGCATTGCACGTGGTGGTTCCCTGGCGTCTTTCTGTTAAGCTGTGGAAGTAACAGAGACCAAACCTGCTGATTAAATAACAGTCAAGTACGAGGAAGGAAAATAGACATCACTAATAGACATAACTGCCCTTACACAATCATAGGTGTGTGCTTAGGGGGACAAAATCCAGGAGGCGTTGCCGTTCAATGGGAACATAAGAAAAACGTTTGTCGTGAGTGAGAGGCAAACTGAGTATTAGAAATTATTGTGAACAAACCAGAAAAAGTAACAGTGCCATCCTGTAATCTGACAGCGTGTCTGCCTCTTGCGTGCGGTGAACCGTTCGTGTCATCCCGTCCCAGAGCGCCTCACTGCTTGTGAACGTGAGCGCGGTGACGAGGGTAGTTGGACACGAAACATCTTCACAGTGAACAGAGTCTACGCAGATGATTTGGGGGGTGACGTGATAAAAGTCCGTGAAATCGTGAAAGCACAGGCAAGCACAACGATGTAGGAATTGGGGAGCAAACACTGAAATTAGCAGGCGCCGTATTTAAACAGCAGGGAGTATTTTTTTACGAAGCCACAACTAAACTATGGAAAGCGTTGCAGGAGGAAGTTGGAGAGGTCGAGAGTAGAGATGGTTCCAGAAAGATGAGGCCAATTCCTGGAGGAAGGATTAATCCCTGCCTGTTTCTGCACAGTGGTCCAGCTGTAGCCTTTAGGTCTAAAAGGCCGTAAAATGGACATTAAGGGAAGCCTGAAGGGGATACCGTGGGAAGTTGTTTCTTATCCATGCCTTATTCCTGTGCTTTTCCTTCTAAGCATCTGCTGCTGCCCACTTTTCCAGCTAGAATACTGTGCTGTATCACCTCGGATCTTACCCAGGGTGGGTTTAAGTTTTTATCACGTGGGACCTCCCGGGTTTTTGTTCATTGTGAGATAAGTAACAGAAAAGATGGAGTTGGTTTTTAAATACCATGTGCTAAATCCAGCGCTATTTTCAGTAATAGTTTGCGTTTCCCAAACGTTCTCCAAGACTCCTGAGGTTCTTTGTGAACATCACTGATGAAAGCTTTTCCCCGGCAGGAGACAGGCTGTGTGAGCGGAGCGGCGGTATTTTCACCCCATCGACTGGTAGTCGTCGTCCCAAAGAAGGGTGCAGCGTAGCAGCGAGAGGGGCAGCCACGGCTGGGGGTGGAGAGGAGGGTTTGATGCCATTCCGTGGAGCAGAGCAGTGGAAGCGTTAATTCGCTCCTGGGACAAAAGGAATAAATAGACGTTTAGGGACCTGTTGAGGGCTTGCACTTGGGAAAAACTTCAGGTGCCAGGGGGGTCGTTGTGTGATCGATCAGCCCTTCTTGAGTTCTGTCTGCCTTTCCTGAGCTACGCGTCTTATTTGAGTTCTGCTGGAATCATCAAAGGCTTGGGGCTTCTCCATCAATGAGTTATTGTCTTCATAATCGTCTTCTCTCTAAGTATCTTCTCTCTTAAATCCTAAAGACTTATTCTTTAAACATTGCAGCTATCACTCATTTCCACACATTTTCCTAATCAAAACTTGTTTTGTTACGTATCCTGCAGTCTGTCATAATTTATCTTGACCCATGACACGTTGGTACTTCCAGCCTGGGTGCACAGTTAAGTTATGTTTAGTTCTGGCTGTAAAACTTTTGTGACGGTGCTCACGGGAACCTTTCCTCCTCCTGCGGGTTCTGCATTGGTTTTCCATCGCTCTTTACAGTTCAACATCAGGTAGCACTGTCACGTTAGTTTTAATGAACCATTTTGCTCCGTTTTTGATGTGCTGGACTCATGAAAAGTTCTTTACAGGTGTGTGTTTTGTGCCTATTGCCAGGTGATTGTGTTTACCTGATGAGAGACAGCCGCAGAACTCCCGATGGACACCCTGTCCGGCAGTCGTATCGGCTGCTGTCCCACATCAACAGGGAGAAACTCGATATTTTCCGCATTGAAAAACTCTGGAAAAATGAGAAGTATGTTCAAGGCGTCTTTTGGATTTGTGACATTCCGTGTGCCTGCCTGTTGATCCCGGCAGTCTTGCCATGGCTTGAAAAGGCCGGGCTGAACACGGTTCCGTTGCAGAGGCGCGACGATTTCCCACGTGTCTCTGCCTGTGCTCCGTGACTGCGGAGTAAAAACGTGGGAGGTTGGAGGTTTAAGCGAGGGATGAGAGGGACAAGTTGATGCCCTTTGCTCGCTCTCGGAGCTGGCAGCTGGATTGGCTCAGCTGGCGGTCGCTGACTTGCTGAGCCACTGGAATGCGATTAAATGCGTGTGCCCCGTAGGCAGCGGCACGGTAAGCCTGCTGTGTTCCTAAAAACCCCGCTAGGGGTATTTCCACTTGCCGAAGGGGTTCAAGTTGAGTGTGTAATATTCATGTGACTTCGCTTTTCGTCACAGTCATTGCAGAAGTGCAGGATAGAGAATTCAAAATTAAGTGACGGGCATTAAGTAAAGTTGTATCACGGGCTTATAGAAATAGTCTTTTTTTTTTTCCCCCCCTTCTGTTTCTCTCTTTCTCTTACCTTTACACCTTCGAACAGAGAGGAGCGGTTTGCATTTGGTCATCATTATTTCCGTCCACACGAAACACATCATTCCCCTTCTCGAAAGTTTTACCACAATGAGCTCTTCCGGGTGCCGTTGTATGAAATTATCCCCTTAGAGGCTGTGGTGGGAACGTGCTGCGTTCTGGACCTGTACACCTACTGCAAAGGTAAGGAGACCTCACGGGGCGAGGAATAAAACGTCATACACCTGTCTGATCATTTGGGAAGTTTGCTAAAATGGTTCCTGCTGTAAAAAGGCCGTAGCCAGTGTTTACGGGGTGTCAGAGCTGAGGCAGCACTAGGGCTGTAGCACTGGGACAGTGATTTCTGTTTTGAGAGGGCCAGTGCTGGAGACACAGCAGCAGAGTGGGGTTGTGCTGGGCGGGGAAGAGAAAGTGATGGCAGTTGATAATAGTTTTATGAAAGTTTGGGTACTGTTTGGTTGGAGTGTCCAGGTTTTCCTCTTAAATTGAGCTAGCGAGGTGT